TAAGCAAGAAGGAGAGTTGACTGGGATAAATGGCATGGCGCCATGGTAGAAGAAAAACAGTCTCTGGACAAGAATCATACATGGGACATAGTTGATCGACCTCCGAACAAAAGGATTGTTGGGTCCAAATGGATCTTTAAGCTTAAGGAAGGCATACCAGGTGTTGAACCAACTAGATACAAGGCAAGACTTGTAGCAAAAGGCTTCACACAGGTTGAAGGCATTGACTACAATGAGATTTTCTCTCCAGTAGTCAAGCATGTCTCTATTCGAATTATGCTTTCTATGGTGGTCAATTACGACATGGAATTGGAACAGCTGGATGTTAAGACCGCGTTTCTGAATGGGAGATTAGAGGAGACTATCTACATGGAACAGCCTGAGGGGTATATTTAGAGTGGTCAAGAGGGTAAAGTTTGCTTGCTGAAACGGTCGTTATATGGGTTGAAGCAGTCACTGAGGCAGTGGAATCAACGGTTCAACGAGTTAATCAGATCCCAGGGGTTTAAGCGAAGCGTTAAGGATCCGTGTGTATACTACAAGGGATCAAAAGTTGAAGATAGCATTTATCTACTCCTCTATGTAGATGATATGCTCATCGCGGCAAAGGACATAAGGAAGGTTCAAGTCCGTCAAAGGAGTCTGAGTTCTGAATTTGAAATGAAGGATCTAGGTCCAGCTAACAGGATCTTGGGAATGGAGATCATAAGGCATTCTGAAGTTGTCTCAAGCGAGGTATCTTAAACAAGTTTTGAAAACGTTTAACATGGATGGATGTAAGCCTGTAGTTACTCCTACCAATTGCTCATTTAAGCTTTGCAGTTTAAGTGACAAAGAGTTAGCTACTGGAGGTGAGTTCATGGATAAGATCCCTTATGCTAGTGCAGTGGGGAGCTTAATGTACGCTATGATCGGTTCACGGCCAGACTTGGGATTTGCAGTGTGTTTAGTAAGTCGGTTTATGTCAAAGCCAGGATGAGATCATTGGGCAGCTGTTAAATGGATTCTGCGGTATCTACAAGGAGCAACCGATGTTTGTCTAAATTTCACTAAGGCTGAAAAGATGGAAATAGAAGGTTTTAGTGATTCAGATTATGCAACTGATCTTGACAAGCGCAGATCAGTTACAGGTTATGTGTTTTAAGTTGGTGGAAACATGGTTAGCTGGAGATCTACTCTACAGCATGTGGTGGCTTTATCAACCACAGAGGCTGAGTACATGGCTATGTTAGAGGCTACAAAGGAAGGGTTATGGTTAAGAGAGTTTTGCAATGAGTTGGGTTTCAGTTTTGAGTTTTTGAAGCTGAATGGTGATTCTCAGAGTGCTATTAACTTAGCTAAAAACTCGGTTCATCATGACAGGACCAAACATGTTGCTACTAAGATTCACTTCATTCGAGACATATTGGATGAAGGCTTGATTCAAATCTACAAGGTTCATACTACACTAAACCCAGCTGACATGTTGACTAAGAGTTTACCTGGAAATTCTTTCGAGAAGTGCCTCGTAACACTCAAAGTCATCGCCTGATCGCCGGCAGGCATACTCGGAGATGGTTCTGTTGGTTGTGTCATCTCGCAGAGTATAAAAAGAGAGGAGCTGTGTTAGTTTCTCGGTATCTTAATCAACAAGGTTTTTTGATGGTAATAGTAAAATCAGATATTTGAAGAGCTTAGTGTGTATAGGGGTTTACCTTGCACATGGTGGAAGCGCATCAAATTCCCGCATTTCGTTTGGTGCTGGTAAAAGTTATCAGTTGGAATGGTCAGAGTCGGTTGAGACTCGTGAATCGTTTGGTCAGTATCGTTTCAGGAATGTTACTTACCTGGTTCAGAACTGAAGTCAATGGGTGCTGGTGGAGGCGGAAGCATCAGTGACGGTGAAGGAGGTGGAGCTCCGGCGGTAATCAGTATTGACTCAGGGTCTTCGAGGTGAGCAGTAGTCGGAGAAGTTGAAGAGTCTTTCATATTTTTTGGTCGGGAATATTGCAGCCAGGGTTGATGTGAGAAGACAGGTCAACGACAAAGGTGGAGATTTGTGAAGGTGTTGTCGTTTTGGACTTCACACATAAGTGATAAGGCTCAAGTTCATTATTTGGGTCGAGTCCTTTACATCATCAATTTGGGCTACGTCTATTGATTAAAACCCAATAAGAAGTTGAGTCTTTAAAAGGCAACATAAGTCAATGTCATCTTCATCGCGTGGAAAGATATAACAGATTAGAGAGAGAAAGTCCAGAGCAAGAGAGAGAAGCTTGAGAAGATTCTTGGTGATCGTTGGTGATTCGATTACGGTTGCTCAGTGCGGCGTCTCCGGCGACGGTTTGTCCTGAAGATTCCAGGTTCTCGTTCGGATTCATACTCTCGTCGAGTCTTCTCCGCGAGCTTACTTAGGAGATAGCTGTATCGAATAAATAGCTTGTTAGTCACTTGTATATGGAGATTTGGTATATAGTGAAAGCATGGTGGTTTAGTCCCACTCCCAGATGTACCGAGAGGGAACTGGGTAAACAAATTGCTCTTGAGTTCTTAGATCAAGAATTAGTTTAAGAACTAGTCAAAGATTCAATCAAACTAGAGTCAAGATCACGAACTGGGACTAAGAATTAGTATCGGACTTGAGCAAATTCTTAACAAGACAAAATATGGATGAGCAAATCATTAGGCAACACACTGATCCTGTCTCTAGACACAACAACTTCCTCGATTCGTCGACAACAACGTCTGGCTTTTGGCGGTGACATAGAGCTAAAGAGTATGTGGTTAAAACAACAAACAAAAGTATATAACAGGCGGAAGCGAATTAACAAGTCCTCTTTGAAATATCATATATAGATCAAAACGAGAGTTGCTAAGATTCTTCTTTGTTTTTTTATTAGGTTTTCAATATAAGAGCATGTTTATCGGCGTATCAAGGCCGGTTTCTTAACATATTTGGACCAAAAATTAAATGAAAAATGGGTATTAATCTAAGACCAGCCCCATCGCTAATACCCACAAGGGTTTTAAGAAGAAAAAGTGTGTAAAAATTAAATGAAAAATAGTTAAAGGAGTAAGGATTGGTTGTTAAAATCCTTAAATAAGGATCAGTATACACTTGGCATCAATTTATTGGTGTTTTTTTTCTGGAACACTCTTTCTCCTCTTTTTCTCTCTTCTTTACCATTTTTAAATAATATTTTTTTGTGAAAACTCTCTTTTCTCTCTTCTTGCTCTAAAGAATTTCTTATTTCGGATTCGCAAAGAATGTTTCTTAGCTGCCATGTGTCGGGTCATGATTGGTCAGACCCAAATTTTTTTTTTCCTCTCTTTTGTCATTTTTCCTCGACGAAATCAATTTTTATTATAAAAAAAAATCAAGTGGGTTTCTCCCAATGCACATTCCAAATACATAAGTTTCTTAACTAGGTTTTTTAACTTAAACTAAATATTATAATATTCATTAAAAAACTGAGTATCTCCAATAAATATGCTTTAAAACCGACTCTAAAACAACGACTCTTAGATTCCTTATATAACTTCTAAAGCATTAAGGATCCTTAGAAACAAAGGAAAATAAAAACAAAATCCTAAATATAAAGAAAATTAGAAAACGACTAAAAGATTTGGACAATACTCCAAACACCAACGATGTGCTCTCCTAGTAGATGATCCAGAACCCTAGACACCCTTTGTATTTTAACTCCTCATCTCAAAATAAAAGAACAATATATTTTATATACCAATGTAGTTAAATTCGGATGAATCATGTAATAAAATTGTTGAAGGTATAGATAATAGAAGGGCTTACTTTATAAATATAAGAAAACATATTGTTTCAATTTTAAATTTATGTTACCTTTTTCTCAATTATTTAAATTTCTTATAAAAAAAATCTTAACACGCCTTCTTAATTAATGGCTTTTATCTATTTACTCGAATTGAATTCCATTCTAAAACTGTCGATAAATCCTATATGAGCTGTCACCTTACATAACTGAGTAAAAAAAAAAACTGGACTTGAATTTTTGTTGGCAAATGTAGACTATAATACATTATCCAACATTTTTGTCCAGTAAAGGCTCTCAGGCAAGCTCGTAGGACCACAGAGAAGCTCCAAGTCTAGCTTGCGCACAAAGCAATCGACCACATTTGCAACCCATTTCCTAAAATCTCGATTAATAAGAAATTTTTGACCGAGTTAGATACACATAGTTTCTAGTACATGTGCCTTGTGTAATTCCATTGAATTTTCAAGAAACCTCCAAACACTTTCACATTCATCAGAGTTGGTGTTTTTTATTCGAGTTTAGGCACCATCGTCTACAGAAAACGTCATCGTTTTGACAGAAACATAGTGGCCATTGCATCTTTGGTCGTGACAAGCGATAAAATCTGGATGAGCAAATCATTAGGCAACACACTGATCCTGTCTCTAGACACAACAACCTCTTCAATTCGTCTACAACAACGTTTGGCTTCTCGTGATGACATAAAGTTAAAGAGTTTGTGATTGAAGACAACAAAAGTATATGAATAGAACATATATATGTGATGAGGACGAACTCTAAAGGCTTTAGATGATTCAGAACCCTAAAAGCTTTAGATAATTCAGCACCCTAGACACCCGTTGTTCTTTAACTCTTGTCTAAGAAAGAAATAACTAGTAATTATATTTACAACAATGTAGTTAAATTGGGACGAATCAAGTTATAATACGAAAATGTTGAAGGTATAAATAATAGAAGAACTTATTTATATTAAGAGAAAAATACCAATCATAAACCTTAAGACACCCTTTGTTCTATAACTCTTGCTTGTCTCAGGAGGAAATAACTTAAAAATATATTTATACCAATGTAGTTAAATTGGGATTAATCAAGTTATGACACAAAATGTTAAAGGTGTAGATAATAGAAGGGCCTATTTATAAATATGAGAAAACATCAAGCATGTCCTAAACCCTAAAAGCCCTGAATTTCTCTGTATAAAAGCAGTCACAGAGGTTGCAAACAATCGCCACTACCTCACATCTCTGTCCTTTTTTTCCTCTGGTCATTTGTTTTTTGACTTTCTCATCTCTTCCGGTCTAGTAACAGATATGAGACCTCCTCTTACAGGTAAAAGCCGTAAAGGCTCTATTTTTCTTCTTATACTGTCGAATTAGGATTGTGTCAACTCTGAGTAGTTCGTATCGTTGCCATTTCTGTAGTATTCTTGGCTTTGTTGTGTGCTTCAGTCCTATTGAAAACTGAAAAATGGAGACTTTAATCTACACTGTCTTCTTCCGATTGGTTTAATTTGATGGGTTTTTGGATTTGGTTATTAGCAGGACGTGGTGGTGGTGGTGGATTCAGAGGTGGAAGAGATGGAGGCGGCGGAGGATTTAGGGGTGGACGAGGTGGAGGCGGAGGAAGAGGAGGTTTTGGAGGAGGACGTGGAGGAAGTGCCATGAGAGGCGGAGGACGTGGCGGAGGACGCGGTGACAGAGGTCGTGGTGGACGTGGCGGTGACAGAGGTCGTGGGGGACGTGGAGGTATGAAAGGAGGAAGTAAAGTGATTGTGGAGCCTCACAGACACGCAGGAGTGTTCATTGCCAAGGGCAAAGAGGATGCTCTTGTTACCAAGAACTTGGTTCCTGGTGAAGCTGTTTACAACGAAAAGAGGATCTCTGTTCAGGTATGTTTGATCTCGAGGATTGATCTTTTCACTTAGATCTTAAGATTTGTTAGAATCAGATGATTGATTGGTGTTAGTATCCTTAGAGGACCATGAAGAGTTATAGCTTTGTGCTTATAGTTTTAGCTGCTTGAATTTTGCAGAACGAGGATGGAACTAAAGTTGAATACAGAGTTTGGAATCCTTTCCGCTCTAAGTTAGCTGCTGCTATTCTCGGTGGTGTTGATAACATTTGGATCGTAAGTCTCGTCATTAACACAATGAGTTTTTTGTGTTTTGTCATTGAAAGTCTTGTTCTTTAATGGATATTTTGTCTTGCAAGCTATGTAGAAACCTGGTGCTAAAGTTCTTTACCTCGGTGCTGCTTCTGGAACCACCGTCTCTCATGTGTCTGATCTTGTTGGCCCTGTAAGTGAAGCTTATCTTTGCTAATTTTCTCTCAGATTCCTTTTTTTGTCCTCTGTTGTGACTTATCTTTGCTCTATTGCTATTCTGATTGGCAGGAAGGATGTGTTTATGCCGTTGAGTTTTCTCATAGAAGTGGTAGAGATTTGGTGAACATGGCGAAGAAGAGGACTAATGTTATACCAATTATTGAAGATGCTAGACACCCTGCAAAGTACAGAATGCTTGTTGGCATGGTCGATGTCATATTCTCTGATGTTGCGCAACCTGATCAGGTTTGGTTCTTCCTTATTTCTTACTATGAAAGTTCCAAGACTCCTTAATACAGTTTTTATCCACAAAAGTACTTTATATCGCATTGCATCTTTTGCTTTTAAGAAAACCAGCACATTGAAATCGGCAGATGATGATTTTACTTGGATTCCCCTTCAGAACATAATGGGTGTTGCAAACTCCAAGCTTCTGATGCTACTTTAATATCTTTTTACATTTTCTTTCCTGTTAGTGTTTCGCTACCAAATATGAATGCTCTAAAATTTGCATACCGGTTTTATTCACATAGGCTTATATTTGTCTTCATATTATACATGTTTTTCCTTTCAAAATAAACCATTTTCGAATTTTACTCTACAAGTCTTTTTTCTCTGGCACATAGATTTTCTATAAATTCGTTTGCAAAGAAATTACTGATGATGCTTTTGAGGTGATTATGAAATTTTTGTGATCGAATCTAGAGATTCATTGTAGTAGCATTAGAGAGCTTGCAGATATTTGCCCCAAGAAAACTGCAAGAATCTGCTTGTTTTGGTTCTTGTTTTCGTTTTCTCTGTTTTTTTGTTTTGTTTATTTAATTGAGACCGATTTGCCTAACTCTTGAAGGCAAGAATCTTAGCCCTGAACGCCTCATTTTTCCTCAAAACTGGAGGACACTTTGTTATCTCAATCAAGGTCAGTACTTGAATCCTTACCTCTGATTCTCCTCACATCCTCAAATCAAACTTTAGAATGTTTCACGAAACAACTCTGTTCTTCTCTGTTCAGGCCAACTGTATTGATTCCACGGTTCCAGCAGAAGCAGTCTTTCAGAGCGAGGTGAAGAAGCTGCAGCAAGAGCAGTTTAAGCCAGCTGAGCAGGTAACCCTCGAGCCGTTCGAACGTGACCATGCCTGTGTTGTTGGTGCTTACCGCGTGCCCAAGAAACAAAAGGCTGCAGCTACATAGAAACATACTTGATAGAGTTGTGTGGACCAGTGTGGCCAATCAAGCCGTGGCGGGTTTCTTTGGTTTGGCTTGTTGTATTATCTTAAAAAGATGGATATGCTTTTATGTCTCGTGTTTAGATATTTCATCTTATGATAATGAAGCACTGATTATATATGTAACATTTTGTTCAAACATTGTCGAGTTAATCTCCGATTTTTACCAATCTCAACAGCTTAAGCCTCTCAGAGCATGAAGGAATAGAATTAAAAGAAGATGAACATTTTGTTTAGGCACATCAGAATAGTTCCCTTCAGTCTCCACTATCCAGAGAAGACGAAAGCGATACCCTCTAAGTCCGACAGAGTATTTGCCATGAGTTGAACATCTCTTATTCTCTTTCAACAAACACTTATGGGTATTATTATTATCATAGTCCTTAATTTATATATGCTACAACATATCATCTATGCATAATTATAGAGTAGAATCAGTTTTGTTTTTCAAGATGATGGGTTCCTTGCATCACAAGTAATCTGGTGATTTTTTTATTACACAGAAAAGTTAGTTGCCAGTGTCATTGTTAAGATCCGAATGTAGAATCCTACTAGTCAAGCGCCTAATAAAAAATTTGTTCATAAAAATAGTATTAACTAGATAAATAGAAACCTTCCTATTTTATCGGAAGAGAATTAAAAGCTTTCTTATTCCAATATAAGTACATATATAAATCTACTTAAACCCTAAGAACGTCTCTATAAAACCAATCACAGAAGCTGCAACATCGCTATTGTTCTTCTTGCCTAGGCTTATTTTCTAGTTTATATTAGCTTCCTTTGCAAAGATGAGACCTCCCCTTAGAGGTAAAAACCCTAGAAGCCGTTTTTTTCTACTTGTTTCTGTATCTAGATTATTACATCTGTTCGACCTAAAATACAGGGTTTTGTTTAATCTAAACTCGGGTTTATAACAATATCTTTAGCTGAATTTGATTGTTAGGTCGCCATAGACTGTTTTGAGTCTTTACTGCTTCAATCCTAGCTTAATGAGAGGTTTTATAATACTCTCTTCTGATTAGTTTGTTTTCGTTTGATGTATATGGTTTACCTTTACGCTCAGGTGGCGGTGGCGGCGGAAGAGGTGAGGGAGGTGCTTGGAGAGGCCGTGGAAGTGACCGTGGAAGAGGCCCCGGAGGAAGGAGGCCCGGAGGAAGAGGGCCTGGAGGAAGAGGCCCCGGAGGAAGAGGGCCCGGAGGAAGAGACCCTAGAAGTAAGCCCGGAGGAAGAGCAAAAGTAGGACTTAACGGAGGAAGCAAAGTGATTGTGGAGCCTCACAGACACGCAGGAGTGTTCATTGTCAAGGGTAAAGAGGAGGCTCTTGTCACTAAGAACTTGGTCCCTGGTGAATCCGTTTACAACGAGAAGAGAATCTCTGTTGAGAACGAAGATGGAACTAAAGTTGAATACAGAGTTTGGAACCCTTTTCGTTCTAAGTTAGCTGCTGCTATTTTTGGTGGTATCGATAACAATTGGATCGTAAGTCCCATATTTTTACACATCTTAAAAAAATCAAGTACCAATCTTGCTTCTTTTATTGAAAGACTCGGCTTCTTTGAAATTGTAGAAACCTGGTGCTAAAGTTCTTTACCTTGGTGCTGCTTCTGGAACAAGTGTGTCTCATGTGTCTGATATTGTTGGCCCTGTAAGTGAAACCCTTAAACCCTAACCCTTGATTGTTTTTCTTTGTAATGTTTTTACTCATATTTTCGTTTTGATTGTTCGTAGGAGGGATGTGTTTACGCCGTCGAGTTTTCTAGTCGGAGTGGTAGAGATTTGGTGAACATGGCTAGTAAGAGAACTAATGTTGTACCAATCATTGAAGATGCTAGACACCCTTCTAAATACAGAATGCTTGTGCCCATGGTTGACGTCATATTCTCTGATGTTGCTCAACCAGATCAGGTTTGATAATGCCTTAAATCTTACTAAGAAAGAGTCAAATCTTTGCCAATAGAACCAATTTTGCATTGTATAGTATATAAGCTTGCATAGAATAGTTTCACTCAAAATCAGCTAAATGATGGATTCCCCCATCATGTGTGATGCAAACTACAAGTTTCGTATGCTATTTTGAGTTTTCTTGTCATTAGCAAACTCGTTAATTTCTTTAATCATTAATAATTTTGTCATAAGTGTTTTTGTTTTCCCTTCAAGATTCATGTCTCTTTGAGACTAAGTGTTACCTAAAACTATGCAGGCTAGGATAATGGCTCTCAATGCATCTTTTTACCTGAAAACTGGAGGGCACTTTATGATCTCTATAAAGGTCAGCAACAGAATTTCAATCGTTGATTCTCTAAACAAATCCTTTTAGCGTGCATTGTTTGTTTTAACTATAAGTAACTGTATTTTTTTTTTTTTCTTTCTTTCAGGCGAGTTGTATCGACTCAACGGTAGCAGAAGAGGCAGTGTTTGCAAACGAAGTGAAGAAGTTGCAAGCGGAAGGGTTTAAACCAGCAGAGCAACTGACACTTGAGCCTTTTGAACGTGGCCATGCTTGTGTTGTTGGTGGATATCGCATGCCTAAGAAGCAGAAAGCTACTTAATTAACAAATCTAATCTCTTTACTTTAGTTTTGTGAAAGTTATAAGTTTTTTTTTTCACACACAGATGAGGTGGACTTCTGATATCCAGAAGCAGAGTTTTGTTAGAAACGCAAATACATTTTTTTTTTTAACATTTATGAGTTTTGAAGATTTATTATTCATATATTTATGTTTTTGGTATTGGATGTTTCAAGGTTGAACCAAAAAAAAAGGATATGTCTCTCAACTGATTGTCGAATAGAAAGTCTAATGCTTCGACGAGATATGAATCGATTGTTGTTTTTGAATAACTATTCAGTATTTTATTTATGATTTTTTCATTATTAATCATGTTAAACTTTGACATATGTTAAACATATCTTTCAGAAAATATTATGAACTATTATTATAGTCCATGATTTATATAATCTACATCTATGCATAACCATAGAGAATAAAATCAATTTGTTTTTTTTTTAAAGATGATGGACTCCTTGCATCACAAGCAATCTTGTGACTATTTGATAAAAACAGAAAAGGTAGTCGCCAGTGTAAGAATCATTGTTAAGACCCGAGTATAGAATCCTAGTCTAGCGCCTAATAAATTTTTTTCATAAATATTGTATTAATTAGATGAATAGTAACTTTCCTATTTTATCGGAAGAGTATTAGAAGCATTGAGCATTCTTATTCCAATTCCAATATACTGTAGAAGTATAAATCTTCTTAACTCCTAAGAACGTCTCTATCAAAACCAATAACAGAAACTGCAACATCGACACATCGCTACCGTTCTTTCTCTTTCTTTGCCTTCGCTTATTTTCTTGTTTTTCTTATTTTCATTCGCTCTCGCTCTATAGCAAAGATGAGACCTGCTTTTAGAGGTAAGAACCCTAAAAGCCATTTTTTTTTTCATACTTGTATCTGCATACTCTGTTCGATCTAAATTATATAGGGTTTTGTTTAATCTAAACTCGGGTTTATCACGAATATCTCTCGCTGAATATATAGGCCTATACTTTTTGAGTCTTCACTGCTTCAATACTACTCTCTTCTGATTAGTTGGTTTTCATGTAAATGGTTTATGCTCAGGACGTGGTGGTCGTGGTGGCGGCGGCTGTGGAAGAGGGCCCGGAGGAAGAGAACATGTAGGACTTAAAGGAGGAAGAAAAGTGATTGTGGAGCCTCACAGACACGCAGGAGTGTTCATTGCCAAGGGTAAAGAGGATGCTCTTGTTACCAAGAACTTGTTTCCTAATGAAGCCATTTACAATGAAGAAGGGATTCCTGTTCAGGTAACTGGATCTTGATAATCGATGCTTCCGCTTAGATCTCAAGATCTGTTTGAATCAGATGACTGATTGTTGTTACTGTTCTCAGAGGATCATCAAGAGTTTATGTGTGAAAATTCCTGGTGAATCCGTTGACGTCGAGAAGAAGATCTATATTCAGAACGAAGATGGATCAGAAGTTGAATACAGGGTTTTGAATCCTCTCCATTCTAAATTAGCTGCTGCTATTCTCTGTGGTCTTGATAACATTTGGATCGTAAGTCCAATCTGTTTGTGCACATCTTAAAACATCAAGTAACAATCTTTCTTCTGTTATTGAATGTCTAAGACTTGTTTCTTGATCAAACCGTAGAAACCTGGTGCTAAAGTTCTTTACCTTGGTGCTGGTAATGGAACCACTGTGTCTTATGTGTCTGATATCGTTGGGCCAGTAAGTGAAACACTAAAACCCTAATCCTTGTATTGCTTTTTCTTTGTAATGTGTGCTTATATTTGCGTTTTTGATTGTTCGTAGGAGGGATGTGTTTATGCTGTTGGGTTTTCTGAAAAAAGCGGAACAGATTTGGTGAACATGGCAAAAAAGAGAACTAATGTTGTACCAATCATTGAAGATGCTAGACACCCTGCTAATACAGAATGTTTATGAGCATGGTTGATGTCATATTCTCTGATATTTCTCAACCAGATCAGGTTTGATCTTACCTTATATCTTACTTTGAAAGAGTCAAATCTTTGCCAATATATAGCACCAACTTGCATTATATAGTATATGCATAGATGAGTTTCATTCAAAGTCAGCAGATGATGATCATACTTGGGTTTGGATCTGCAAACTCCAAGTTTCTTATGCTACTTTGAATCTTTTTATTAGCAAACTCCTCTTCTTTTTTCTTGAATTTTCTTTTCATAAGTCTGTTTTTCTTTTTCTTGGGTTCTTTCAAGATTATTACTGTCTATATGAGACTATGTGCCTAAACCTATGCAGGTTAATTTAATGGCTCTCAATGCATCTTATTTCCTAAAACCTGGAGGGCACTTTATGATCTTTATAAAGGTCAGTAACAAAATTTCAACCGTTGATTCTCTATACTATATAATTAAGTGTATTCTTTGGTTTTTCAGGCGAGTTGTATCGACTCAACGATAACAGCAGAAGCAGTATTTCAAAACGAAGTGAAGAAGATGCAAGCGGAAGAGTTTAAACCAGCAGAGCAAGTGACACTTGAGCCTTATGAGCGTGAACATGCTTGTGTTGTTGGTGGATATCGCATGCCTAATTAAGAAGCAGAAACCTATTGAATTAGGAAACCAAATCTCTTTACTTAGTTTGTGATCGTTATAAGTTTTTTTTTTTTTCACAAACAGATATGAGGTGGACTTCTGATCTCCAGAAGTAGAGTTTTGCTAGAAACGCAAAATACATTTTTGAGTTGGATCTTATTTAAGTTGTCAGATTTTGGTGGTTTTCGTTTTATTGAACGTGGGACTTACTCTGACGGCGCCTAGGGTTCAAACTTTGGTGGTTTTCGTTTTAGGGTTCAAATTCACTTGACAAGTGGGAAGATAAATGTTGACTGTAAAACAAAATTTGAAACATATTTTAGCAATTTGAACATATTTTTAACAAAAATGTTGTTCATAGGAATAAAAAAAATCAATTTTGCCTTTGAATGATAATTTTACAATGAACTTCATACTCTGAAAAAAAAAAGAGAACTTCCTACTTCTGGAGGTGGACTTCTGATCTCCAGAAGTAGAGTTTTGCTAGAAACGCAAAATACATTTTTGAGTTGGATCTTATTTAAGTTGTCAGATTTTGGTGGTTTTCGTTTTATTGAACGTGGGACTTACTCTGACGGCGCCTAGGGTTCAAACTTTGGTGGTTTTCGTTTTAGGGTTCAAATTCACTTGACAAGTGGGAAGATAAATGTTGACTGTAAAACAAAATTTGAAATATATTTTAGCAATTTGAACATATTTTTAACAAAAATGTTGTTCATAGGAATAAAAAAAATCAATTTTGCCTTTGAATGATAATTTTACAATGAACTTCATACTCTGAAAAAAAAAAGAGAATGTCAGAAATGGGATTTGAACCCACGCCCTCTCACGAGGACCAGAACTTGAGTCTGGCGCCTTAGACCACTCGGCCACCCTGACGTTTTGACTGTTTATTAACTTAAAGTTTATAACTAGTTTAAGTAAATAAATTGTCAAAACAAATGACCTCAAAATAGCCCTACTGAAGGCCCACAAACTGAATCCTTCTCGTATCAAAAAATAAAGTTTTCCCCAACAAAATGTTTATCACGAATTTTTAATTTAATAAAACTTCGACCAATTACCATACAACACTTACATTGCAATACATTTATTTCTACTTAATCATAAATAAATAATCTTGGCAAAAAAAATCATAAATAAATAAAAATGCGAGCAAAGAAAAGTTATCTAAAAAAAATATTAAGAAGGAACTTAAAATTTACTTATTATTATGTTTCAGATATAGAAATCCACTAAAATGTGAAACTGAAAGAAGAATTAAAAATTATAATGCAAAAGAAAGAAACACAAGAAATCGAAGGCAAAATGTGTGGATTTCGTGTGGCGACGGTAAGCTTCTATCAACTCCATCATGGAGAAGCGCGTGGCTTTCTTTGCCCTAATTTTATTTCATATTTTTAGTTATTTTTCATTTATAACCTTTTCTTTTTTGGGTTAACACATGTAACATGTTCACCAATTCTTTGTTCTACAAGAAAAGCTAACAATTTGGTAAATTTAGAAAGAGAAGGAGAACTAACCATAATAAATTCCAGATCAAATCGTTCAAACTGACTAATCCCTTCTCTTGATTTCTCATTTTGCAAAAAGAAGTAAATTTTAACTTACGAGAAAAGGTCTTAACTATTAGACTATTAGTACATGCAATGCAATAAATATCCTGCCTTTTTTTTGGATAATAAAGGTAGTATCATGGTGTTCACTATATTTTTAAGCCAAAATTTATCAAAACAGAAAATAGAACCGTTAATGTCAAGTTCAAAATGCTTTTTTTTCTCTTTGTCAACGGATTTTTTAGTTTAAAATTTATTTATTGTTATAACACATATCATATATGGACTTTTATACCGGCCCATTAGGCCCATCAGGGCATTGTACTTAACCTAGATTTCCTATGTACTCTATATATACATTCCAGTGATTAATAAAGTTTCTAAGTTTTCACAACACGTTATCAGCACGATAAGACTCTCTGAGCGAAAAACCCTAATAAATCCGGCCACCACCAAAACCCTAAAAGCAAGTCGAAACTTAAAAGACGCATATCTTCCAAACCGTGAGGAACCAGAAGACGATCTACATATCAAATCGAAGCCCTCGACGAGACGAATCTACTGGTGAAAACCGTTTGTCGATCCAACGTCGGACGCGCCCTCACGCACACTTACAGTACACGACGATCAACCGAAAAAAAAAAAAAAAACCAGATCCGAGTTTTCCTTCTTCAACCAGCAGCTTCTCCAGTTTTGGTGATCAATCCTTGGAATTTGTAGCGGCTAACTGAGGTCTATTAGCTCCCAGTTTCATTAGCCTGTCAGAAATCCAAAGGTGGAAAAGGTATCTTCTAAAACTAAGAGCCATAGAACCTGTTGTTTAAACACTTCAAAACCCTATAAAAAAAAAAAAAAAAAAAATCGATCTCTAATTGATTGAAAGTGTTTGATA